CTTAAGTTATGATGATGAAGAAATTAATGGAATGTCTTGTTTAATGCATGGATATGTGTTGATGCAAAAAGTGGCAGAGATGGGGAGGGGGAGGGGAGGCAGAGAAGGGGCCTGGGAGGGAAGGAGCCATCCACCTGCAGCCCTCTGCTGGGCTTCGGAGCAGGGAGGGTCCCAAATTCTGGGCCAGGACCACTGGCTCCCCATGAGGGGGCCTCGGGCTGGAAGCAGAAACACCGTGGACAAGAGTTACTGATGTGTCCCCAGAGGCCTGGCCCCAGGAGCCTGCAGGGCAGCTTCAGGGAGCTGTCCTGACCCAGGGAAGTGGCCCCGGCACCTGGAGGCCACGTGCGATGCTGATGACATCTCAGGAAGGGAATCAGTAGGGACAGTGTCCCAGCAAGAAGGCCATCACACAAAATAAAGGGCATCACACCTCAGCCCGCCTCTCACCAGCCCCCAGCCCCAGGCCTCCTGGAAGGATGTACAGTGGCCGAGGGGGATACGGGACAGAGGAGCAAGAGATGGGGGAGAGGAAAAGCACCATGGGGCGGGCTCCGGTGCCTTCAAAGTGCGGTGTTCACCTGAAAGGGATGCAGCGTTCACCTGGGGCCTGTGTGGCAGGAGGTCCTGAGGCTGAGACCGTGCTGCTAAGGTGCAAGGTTAGAAGAAGGACGAGGAGGTGCAGGCGCCCCTCCCTCCCTCCTCCCCTCTTTATCAGCGTCCCTTCCTCACTGGGTCTCTGCAGCCAGGCTTGGCCTCCTCTCCAGGATGACTCCCTCTGTGCACACCTCCCTCCTCAGGGTGAAACCAGGCCTCGCGAGGCTGGACGGGGCCAGCGTCTGGGCCAGGGAAGGACGCTCTCCTTCGGGCCCAGAGCACCTGCACAGAGCCTGCCCCAGCTGAGAAGTCTCCCAACTGCGCCTGACACTTTATTTCTGCTGGGAATTAAGGAAGCGTGCGGGGCCGTATTTTATCTCTCCCTCTACCTGGCACCTCTCTGACAGCCCCGAAGAGACTGTCTGGGCGCTGACCATCTCTAGATCATAATGGGACGTGAAAAATGATGCAGGAGTCACAGGTCCATAGGAAACAATTCAATTCTGCTCCAGCAGTCTGTTTGGGTCACACCATGGGTGCTCCACCCGGGGCTGAGGGCAGGTGAGAGGCTGGATGAGACCAGGAAGCCCACGGTCAGAGAGAAGCAGCAGGGCCTGTGTGAGAGCCGAGCAGTGGTGGAGGTCTGGGAGCATGGTCCTGGGCTGGCCGGTCAGAGCTCCCTGGGGTGGGAGGCTGAGTTGGGAAGCCTGGTGCAGAGCATTCACGGAGAACAGTGGGACGCTGGCTGGCTGGCTTTCCCCCGCCCCCAGGTGGAAGGTTCCACACACAGGCAGATTCCACTTGCCTTGTTTAATGTTCCATGGAAAACGGGCCCCATCCTATCAGAAGTAGCTCTCCCAGCCCTTGTTGATCCACAGGACTCACCCCGACTGCTCTCGGACCCACATAGAGAAGACTGGCCATGGGCCACAGGCAAGATACCCAGGGAGGAGTCTTCCCAGCAGTCCCTGCCCTTCCTCCTGACATCCCCCCTAAGCACGGGGTCAGCCTGGCATGCGCAGGCCCCGGGCATGGAGTCTCCTCCACGGCCTCCCTCCTTCCCCCATCTGCACAGTGGCAGAGCCCAGCTGGGTCTGGTTCCTGCACCTCTACCTGCCCCGCCTCACATAGACTTTCCTCTCCCTTCTTGCTGGGGAAGTTGAGCCCCCATCTGGCCCCCTGCTCTTCCCTCTTCTGCTCTGACCTTTCCTGGACCATCCCCAAGCCCATCACGCCTGCTTCCCAGCAGCTCCGTGTAGTCAGCTTCCTCTTGATGTCGCCGCTTGCCACCTGTGTGACCTTGGCTAGTTTCTTAACCTCTCTGAAACTCCATTTCCTCGCTGAGAGTTAAGGACAATTTCATTGCATGCATCATAGGGAAGTTATGATAATCCAACAATATCATCAGTGTAACAGTCAGTCGTGTCCCTGTGGGTGGAGCAGTGCTGTGTACCCCAGGCGGGACCTGAGTCCCTGCTCCGGCCACTCACCTCCCAGCTGTGACTGTACCTTCTCTATGGAAACGGGAGAATGTCTGCGGGAACCTGTTCTCCGGGGTACCAGGAAGGCATCGTGGTCAGAGGAGGAGGCCACTGGGGCTGGGGAGAGGAGCTTGCAAGTCCAGGGCCCAGACTTGGGAGCGGAAGGGGCTGGGGTGTCGGGAATGGAGTGATACACGGGGTCAGAGGGGTCTGATGTGAGGGGCCCGGCTGAAGAGGTTGCATTTGGTTTGATGGCCCAGGGAACCTGGCCCCCAACTCCCCTTGCCAGACGGGCATGTCCTCACGGGCTTCCTCCCAGAGTAGCTGGGGGAGATGAGATAACACGGGCAGGCGGACCCACCCCTGTGTTGTTAGCCCTGTGCCTGCCCATCCCGGCCGAACCCCAGATCCTCTGCTTCTCGGAGCTCTGGCTCCTTGTCGGCAGGAGAGAGATAACACTCCCCACCTCAGGGACGTATAGTAATTACATAAGCATGAGAACTAGAGAAACATGCCCAAGAGAAGACAGCGGCCGGGACTGGGGCCTGGTCAGTTGCAGGAATTTTCTGCAGGAGAATATTGCAAGTTTGGGGGAGATGAGGAGGGAGGGACGGTCTAGGAGGGAGGGACAGTCTAGGAGAGGGCTGTGTGCCGAGTCCCAGGAAGTGCTGGGTGGGAGACCAGGACGCCGGCTCAGCCTTCTGGACCCTTCACTCAAACACTGGAATGGAGGTGGTTTACGGGGGAGCCAGGGGACCCTAAGTGGAGCTGGGACTTCACTGAGTCCTCTTCCTTCCTTCTCCCTGTGACAGGAGCCCCCACATGCGGCAGTTCCTGTGCTGGGGGAGCTTCCATGCACAGCACCTTTCTCCCCCTCCACTCCACACGGGGCCGAGCGGGGACCACGGGCCAACAGTGGCCCCTGACCCCCTCACAGTGGATCGGCCCCAGTGTCCTGTCTTGTGCCCCTGGCCAGCTGGCCTCTTGCTCTGTTTTCTGCCCTGCCTTCTGCTCCGTCCTTCCTGGCGGTGAGTCTGCCCTTCCTTGTTGTCACCTTGCTGACTCACGGCACCCGCCTCCCCCTCCCAGCTGTCTTGACGCAGCCAAAACTCACTTCGAATCAGAGACCGGAAGCCCGGGGGAGCTTGTGACTGGCTAGCCCGGTCTCTGGACACGAGGGCAGTTGGCCACAAAAAGTCAGCCGGTGCAGGACAGAAGCTCCATAATAGCTGTGGCAACCCAGGTTCCCGGGCCCATCTGCCCCTGGTGGCCCTGCCTCCACTTCCCCATCTATAAAATGGGGGTGTTCGTGCCGGCCCTGCCTGCCTTTCAAGGTTTGTTGAGAGAGATGTGCAGACGTGATGAGGGATAAGGGGTGCGTGGCAGGCAGAAGCTCTGGCAAAGACATGAAGTGCAGTCCATTTGTGTGACCCCTGCTGTCTATTGCTTGGAACATCTTGGGACTTCAGGCTGCAGAGCCCACCCGGTGCCTCCTGCATCAGGGAGGATCGGACAGGCAGCGGAGCTGGGATGCTTGGAGTTCAGAGACCCCTAGTGGCCTGAACGGGCACAGAAACAGATCCCGGAGAGAGGCAGGTGGCCTGGAGCCTGGGAGTCAGGCGGTGCCCTGGTGTCCTCCTGGCACCCTGACACCCCGTGAGTCGAGTAACTGTGCCAACTCCACACACACACTTCCAAGGGGCAGCCCTGGCCGCAGTCAGGAGCCCCAGCCCTGAGCTCTGCACCAACTAGGAGCCGGGTGGCCCGGAAGCTCAGCTCACGTCTCTGAGATGGCATAGGATGAGGTGCAACTCGCTGCCATGCCCCAGCCTGGCGGGGGGCAGTCTTCAGCCAGAGACCAGCTTGTTTGGGCAGAGCCAGTGGTGTGCCAGGTGTTTGGGCAGAGCCAGTGGTGTGCCAGGTGTTTGGGCAGAGCCAGTGGTGTGCCAGGTGTGCTGTGGGGACACCTCAGAGCTGCTCAAAACTGGGACAGGGACAACACGCGGTCCCCGGTCCAGAGAAACCCTCCTGCAAACACAGGGGCCTGAGGGCTGCACAGGGAAGGGAAGTGGGTGGGGCTTTAGAGAGGACCTGCAGGTTTTCAGCTGTGTGGGTGTCTGCTCATGCGACCAGCCAGTGAGGTCTGTGTGCCTAGGCACCCGTGCGCCCAGGTGGGCTGTCTGCCTCCCACCCCGCCTGCTCTAACACTGACCCCTGTTCTAGCACTAGCCCCTGCTCTAGCACTGACCCCTGCTCTAACACTGACCCCTGCTCTAACACTGACCTCTGTGCTCTAACACTGACCCCTGCTCTAACACTGACCCCAGCTCTAACACTGACCCCTGCTCTAACACTGACCCCTGCTCTAACACTGGCCCCTGCTCTAACACTGACCCCTGCTCTAACACTGACCCCTGCTCTAACACTGACCCCTGTGTTCTAACACTGACCCCTGCTCTAACACTGGCCCTTGCTCTAACACTGACTCCTGCTCTAGCACTGACCCCTGCTCTAACACTGACCCCTGCTCTAACACTGACCCCTGCTCTAACACTGACCCCTGCTCTAACACTGACCTCTGTGCTCTAACACTGACCCCAGCTCTAACACTGACCCCTGCTCTAACACTGACCCCTGCTCTAACACTGGCCCCTGCTCTAACACTGACCCCTGCTCTAACACTGGCCCCTGCTCTAACACTGACCCCTGCTCTAACACTGGCCCCTGCTCTAACACTGGCCCCTGCTCTAACACTGACCTCTGCTCTAACACTGGCCCTTGCTCTAACACTGACTCCTGCTCTAGCACTGACCCCTGCTCTAACACTGCCCCCTGTGCTCTAGCACTGACCTCTGCTCTAGCACTGACCCCTGCTCTAGCACTGACCCCTGCTCTAACACTGACCCCTGTGCTCTGTTGCAGATGAACCGGCCGATCCAGGTGAAGCCTGCGGACAGCGAGAGCCGAGGAGGTAGTAGCTGCCTGCGCCAGCCCCCTTCACGTGAGGGCCCACTTGTCTCTGCCCCCTCGTCCCCTCCCACCTCCCTCTCCCAACGCAGCAATGCAGCGACTCCTGCCACCTGCCCTGTCTCCCCCTCAGGCAGGGTTTTGGAGCTCTCGGGGGACAGTGAAAGGAAGAGGGGTGACTGGGGTCTGCCGAGTGGTGGGGTTCGGTCCTTTCCATGAGGGAGCAAGCAATGAGGATGTCCGACACTCTGCTGCTGCCTGTAGGACATGGAAAACGTGCTCTTCCCACTTCCGTGTCACCAAGGAAACCCCCACTGTGATGGGACTTGACCCTTTGAAAGGATGCTGGGCCAGGATGTAGGCAATGGAGGTGGGACACGGGAGGGTTCAGGCCAGATTGGGCACATCTGAGGAAGGCTCCCGTGGGGTGTTGGGGTGCTTCCTGTGGGGTATAGGACTGTTTCCTGTGGGGTGTTGGGGTGCTTCCTGTGGGGTATAGGACTGTTTCCCGTGGGGTGTTGGGGTGCTTCCTGTGGGGTATAGGACTGTTTCCTGTGGGGTGTTGGGCTGCTGAGGGCAAGATCCTGGAGCTGGATTTAGGGAGGAGGTGTCTGAAAGGGAACAGAGCAGGACACAGCCTCACGTAAACCCCAGCCCCATTCTCACAGAGGAAACTGACTTTCACCCGTGAGGCCACCAGGGCACACAGGCTCAACCAGGCCAGACCCTTGGCTTCCTCTGCCAAGCACCCATGCCCACACCATGCCAGGTCAGGCCCCTCTGCCCCCGGCTTATCCCCATCTGGGCGTGGTCGGGCAGGTAATAAGGGATTTCTCTCTCCCTTCCCTTCCCTCCCCACCCCCAAAATTTTCTAGCAAATTAAGAGCAAAAGGTAAAATGGGCAAAAGCTACTTGTAAATTAAGAGCCAAGATCCTTGTCCTGAGGGGACACAGGGAGGCCACTAAAAGAGCGCCCCCTGCTGGCAGGGAGAGTAAGTGCCACCTGCCGCCCTCTCTGGGGATCCAGGAGGGAGGCAGTGGCCTGAAGGAGGGAGACACCTGGAGAAGTCAGCCCAGGAGGCAGGCCCCTGAGGTGGAGCAGGGGGTGCCTGTGTGCGGAGCAGACAGCTCAAAGTCCAGCCAGTCTCTCTGGAACCGAGGCCCGGAGCGGGGCGGCGGGCACCCCTCTGCCCAGCAAGGCCGCGCCAAGCTCTAACTCAGACCTTTGCTTGCCTCCGAGGCAATAGCTCTCTAACTCCAAGTTGCTAACCTCATCTCCTTTCTCCCATATATCTCCTGCCGCTGACACTTGCCCCAAACCCGATTAATCAGCTCTTTTATTCTTCCCGCGGTGGAAGGGGGAAAGCAGCGCCAAACCCAAACATCTATCTATTAATTGCATATTCAATATTAAACAGGGAGGTGATCCTGAGTCAGCACTATAACCAAGCTAGTTTTTAAAAAACGAAAGTATATCCATTAAATACTTCTTCTGGGTGGAGGGGCCGGGGGAGAGGTGAGCATTAAAAAAAGATGAAAGGAATGGGAACAGGAGAAGGGTGGGAAGGCAGGGGTGGGAGTAGGAGGAGGAATGCTATGGGCAAGGTGAAGGGAAAGGGGGGCAGGAGGAGAGAGGCCTGGAAGAAAGAGGGCTGGAGGAGGCCAGAGAAGAGAGAGCTCATGTTGGCCTGGATCAGGCAGGGAGGGCTTCCTGGAAGAGGAAGGAATTGACCCAAAAGGTGTAGACTTGGCAGGAGACAGGGAGCACAAGTGAAAATGGAGCCCTAAACACAAGGCCAAGGGGTTGGACAGGTCTCCATCGGAAGCAGGAGCCACTGATCCTGATGGGGGGACAGGGCAGAGAGGGGGTGCCCTGGCTGTACTGTCCTTGGGCAGGAAGAGAGGAGACAGCTCCTGCCACCACCACCAAGAGCCCAGGCTGCAGCTCGGCAGGGAAAGAAAACCAGAGGAGGAGCCTGCCCAGGAGCCACCAGGAGCACCCAGTTAATGTTGCAGAGCTCGAGGGAGCACGTGGTCTTTAAACTCAGATTCACACCCAAGTAGGCAAGCCAGTGTGTTAACCAGGGGAGTGAAGCAGCTGGGGACAGAGAGGGTGCAAAGTGGAGGACGGAGGGCATGCCCTGCCCGACCACCTCAGAGGCAAGGGCACTCCCCAGGGCATGCACTGTGGTGTCCTTTGCCTCCCGAAGGCGAATGTACCTCCCCCCAAGCTGGTTCATGGCAGCGTCTGCACTGGGTCTCCACAGCGGCAGGGGCCCTTCCGCCTCTCGGTTTCACTCTGGATGGGTGCACACGGGTGCTGTCCTGCAGGTCTGAGCCCCCCATCCTCCCTGGCCAGGTTGTGGGGACTTCTTTCCGGGAATCAGACTCCATTTGGCTGAACTGGAAAAGACTGGGACTGGGGTGTGTGCCTACCCTTCTCAAGGGTCCAAAAAGGTCAGCAGCCAAGTAGAGGAAGGAAGACGTGGTAGAGGCCTGAGCAGGTGTAGCAGACACCAACCTGATCTCCCCTTCCCCCACCCCCATGCAGACACATACCCTCAGACCCGTGCTATCTATCTGCCCTGACCCCTAGAAGGCGCCCTCCCCATCAGAAACCAACCCTGTCCTCTTCCCAGTAACCACCTCGCAGGGAGAAGGTTTAGCTACAGTAAGGTGGGCCTCATCTCGGCGAAGTTTGCATAAACACCTTTCACACCCTCACCCTCACCAACATGCTCACGCCCACACTGCCAAAGGCAGACACCCAATCTCACACAGCTCCTGGTGAGGTGGGAATACATGTCCTCATGGGCACACAGTGGCTGGGGGTGGGTGCAGACTGGGGCCACCAGGATTTATCTCATCACCGTGACATGACAGGGAAAAAGTAGCAAGATGGCTAGCTTAGGGGTTGGAGAAGTTAGAAACCACGATAGCTTAGGAAGGAGTCCTGGGAAGGAGGGGATTCCGGCTTGCCAAGGGGCTGCCCACTTGGAAGGGGGCAGGTGTGGCACTGGAGTGACGCAGTCTTCCAGGTCGGCCACCATGGCCCCCACCCCTTCACAGGACCCAGAACTGAAAGCCACACAGGCACACAACACACTCCAGCCTCCCGGGCTGGGACATGTGAGGCAGGAACTGGGGACCTGGGCCCTCCCCACCAGCTCTGGCTCCTCCTGTCTCCCGGCTGGACCTGGGCAGGGTCAGGACACATGGGAGGGTCCAGGCAGGTGCGACAGCCTGGGAGTCAGTCCGTTCCACATGGGTCCCCAGGGCAAGTGCGGCCCAGTCGTTCAGCCAAGCAGCGTCCCTGCAGCCTCTCGCTGCTCCCCCGTTCATTTAACGGCACCTCCGGGCTCCTGCCCCTCCCCGTGGCCGGCACTGTGTGGCTGCAGTCCCGCTGGGCTGGCTAATGAGGTTGGACACAGTGCATGGGAACACCGCTCTGGGCCCCTCCCGAGGCCGCGTTCCCCACCATAAACCGTGGCTGATTCTGCGCTCCCAGCCTCTCCACCATCTGCAGCCCCATTGGTTCCTGCGGCTTTATAAATCCTATTAAGTTCCTCATTTCTCCTCCGAGCATTATTTTATTTTAAAACAGACACAGACAATGCACTGTCAGGGAGGCCTTTGAGGGGCTGCTGGGGGACCAGCTGATGGGCATTGCCCCTCCTGTTCCCCACCCCCCTACCCCTGGCCTGAGGCCCTAGGAGCCTTGTGGCCCCACTGTTGGCCTCCAGATGCTGGCTCTCTCACTTCTAGACTTTTCTAGCTTTTTAGTCCCATATTCTAGGGAGGCAATTTAGTGGGCGAGCATTTAGATGAAATGGGTGTGTAGGCTGGTCCTGCTTTATAAAAATTCAATATTCAGAAGTTTCCATTTCCCTCTCTTAAGGGGCAACAAATGCCTCATTTCACAAAAGCTTCTGGGTGAACAGGAACCCCCAGGGTCCGGCTAGGAAGCTTTAGTCCCAGGCGGGAGAGGGTGCACTACACATAAAGCTAAAGACCACAGCACATTGAAGATCAATCTGAAAGTATGCCGAGACCGTAGGAATTACGGTTTAAAAAGCAGATTCCTCTAGACGAGATGCATGCAGGGAGGAGGGTGGGGAAGGTGTGGGGAAAGCCTTGAAGGACAGGTGTGAACACCCTGTGGGACCCCCGGAGGAGGTGGCCCTGGCAGGCAGGGTGTGGGTGGGCAGAGACTCAGCCCCAAAGAACAGACTCATTTGTCAGCAGCCAGTTGACTCCCAGAGCAGGAGTCCAACCACCTCGCACTAGTCTCTCCTCTCAGAGACCCCAGAATGAACAGAGGGTCCCATTCGGGGCTGAGGAGGGGTCCAGTGACTGAGGCCCCTAAAGAGGAAGGAGTCTGCCTCTCAGAGCAGAAAATTCCCCACCTTCACCCGCCCCCTCTGTGTCCCCACAGAAGCCCCTGGAAGCTGGGCGTGGTGCACACCCCACTGTGGGCCTATGTGAATGTGTATGTTGGAGGGTACATTTCCACTTCACCTCCGATCAGACCTTACAGACCCCAACATCTTCAACTCTTACCAGACAGCAACACCCCTGTCCTCCCTCCCCACAGCTATGTCCGGGCCCAGGGCCTTGGGCAAGAGGTCTTGGCCAACCTTTGGGGCACAGGTAGCTGCCCCTGTGACCAGGACACGGCCCCCCAGCAGCCTGGGAAGGCCCCGGAGCCATCCTGTCCACCCTCCCCAGGAGTCCACTCTCACCCAGTCCCTCCCATCTAAAAACAATCCAGAAGGAAAGCCACTCCACAGCCTCTCAGCCTCCTTCTTCAGAGCGCAGGGACCCGCTCCTCAGCCTGTCCTTCTATATCCCACCGGAATCTCTCAAGCTGTAGGCAGCAGCGTTTTCCCTTGAACTGCAAGCCCCACGGCCAATGTCCTGGCAGATATAAACATACCGGTACTTGAATCCTATGTGTTTGGGACCGATCTTTAAGAAAAGCCATTCAGCTTGGGAAGTTCATGTCAGACACCTGACAGCACAGCCCATACCCTC